TCTAGTAACTGTCTCTAAGTTTTGATCATAAAGAAACTTCTGTCCAAATCTTCAACAGACCAAGTCAGATCATTTGCAGAAATTGTTAGGGAGAGGGGTATTTGGACTTATCGCTACATGACAGTTGCATAATGTAACAAGAAATGATTGTAACAGGATGCTGTTACGAAGTCTCCCAAACGAAGCTCCCATAATTCGTAATTCCCAGGGTCGCCTGACATTGGGCAACGTCCAGTGAAAATTGGTTCGGTCCAGTAAAGTTATATGCATTAGTGATGCCTGGGGACTAACCTTGTATATCATTCAAATCATCTTGGCATGACAAACCAGAATATATATGGTTTAGGGGTGGGGATCTCAACCATTTACAAGATACTAGAACATTGGGGGTGGGGAGGAACCCCTGGGGACTGGCCCTATATGTCATTCAAATGTTCATTACATGACGAACAGGAATATATATGGTTTAGGGGTGGGGATCTCAACCATTTACAAGATATTAGAACTTTCTCAAATGGCAGGGGGTCGGGATGACCCCTGGGGACTAACCCTGTTTATCATTCAAACCATCTTCGCATGACAAACCAGAATATATATGGTTTAAGGGTGGGGATCTTGACCACTTAGAAGATATTACAACTTTCTTAAATGGCAGGGGGTGGGGGTGACCCCTGGGGACTAACCCTGTATTTCATTTGATGTGCTTTATCATGGCAAACCAGAATATATATGGTTTAGGGGTGAGGAATTCGACCATTTACAAGATATTAGAACTTTCTCAAATGGCAGGGGGTCGGGATGACCCCTGGGGACTAACCCTGTAAATCATTCAAACCATCTTAGCATGACAAACCAGAATATATATGGTTTAGGGGTGGGGATCTTGACCACTTACAAGATATTAGAACTTTCTTAAATGGCAGGGGGTGGGGTGACCCCCGGGGACTGACCCTGTATTTCATTTAATGGGCTTTATCATTTAGAACATTTTCAATTAAAAAGATTGTGTCTATCACAAACAGTTTTCAATTTATAATCATTTGAAAATTTTAAAAAATAAAAGCCCATAGGGTTCTATAGTAAAACCCTCTTTTCTTTTTGCCCCTCAAAGTACCCCTTTATAAACCCCATTGCACAAACAAAACCCTGATTGCACCACTAGACATGTTAGTCTAACATATTGTGAAACCCTAAGTTAATCTGACAAGCGGTTTTGGAGAACGGGTGCGGACAAGTTCAAATTTAAAAGCGGCGGAAGAAGAAGAAGAAGAAGAATAATAATAATAACAAGAAATGATTGTAACAGGATGCTGTTACGAAGTCTCCCAAACGAAGCTCCCATAATTCGAAATTCCCAGTGTCGCCTGACATTGGACAAAGTCCAGTGAAAATTGGTTTGGTCCAGTAAAGTATATGCATTAGTGATGCCTGGGGACTAACCCTGTATATCATTCAAATCATCTTGGCATGACAAACCAGAATATATATGGTTTAGGGGTGGGGATCTTGACCATTTACAAGATACTAGAACATTGGGGGTGGGGGAACCCCTGGGGACTGACCCATTACATCATTCAAATGTTCGAGACATGACGAACAGGAATATATATGGTTAAGGTGTGGGGATCTCGACCATTTACAAGATATTAGAACATTGGGGGTGGGGGGAACCCCTCGGGACTGACCTTATACGTCATTCAAATGTTTAAGACATGATGAACAGGAATATATATGGTTTAGGGGTGGAGATCTTGACCACTTACAAGATATTAGAACTTTCTTAAATGGCAGGGGGTGGGGGTGACCCCTGGGGACTAACCCTGTATTTCATTTGATGTGCTTTATCATGACAAACCAGAATATATATGGTTTAGGGGTGGGGATCTCGACCATTTACAAGATATTAGAACTTTCTCAAATGGCAGGGGGTGGGGATGACCCCTGGGGACTAACCCTGTATATCATTCAAACCATCTTAGCATGACAAACCAGAATATATATGGTTTAGGGGTGGGGATCTCGACCATTTACAAGATATTAGAACTTTCTCAAATGGCAGGGGGTGGGGATGACCCCTGGGGACTAACCCTGTATATCATTCAAACCATCATAGCATGACAAACCAGAATATATATGGTTTAGGGGTGGGGATCTTGACCACTTACAAGATATTAGAACTTTCTAAAATGGCAGGGGGTGGGGGTAACCCCTGGGGACTAACCCTGTATTTCATTTGATGTGCTTTATCATGAAAAACCAGAATATATATGGTTTAGGGGTGGGGATCTCGACCATTTACAAGATATTAGATATTTCTCAAATGGCAGGGGGTCGGGATGACCCCTGAGGACTAACCCTGTATATCATTCAAACCATCTTAGCATGACAAACCAGAATATATATGGTTTAGGGGTGGGGATCTCGACCATTTACAAGATATTAGAAATTTCTCAAATGGCAGGGGGTACGGGATGACCCCTGGGGACTAACCCTGTATATCATTCAAACCATCATAGCATGACAAACCAGAATATATATGGTTAGGGGTGGGGATTTTGACCACTTACAAGATATTAGAACTTTCTTAAATGGCAGGGGGTGGGGGTAACCCCTGGGGACTAACCCTGTATTTCATTTGATGTGCTTTATCATGACAAACCAGAATATATATGGTTTAGGGGTGGGGATCTCGACCATTTACAAGATATTAGAACTTTCTCAAATGGCAGGGGGTGGGGATGACCCCTGGGGACTAACCCTGTATATCATTCAAACCATCATAGCATGACAAACCAGAATATATATGGTTTAGGGGTGGGGATCATGACCACTTACAAGATATTAGAACTTTCTTAAATGGCAGGGGGTGTGGGTAACCCCTGGGAACTAACCCTGTATTTCATTTGATGTGCTTTATCATGACAAACCAGAATATATATGGTTTAGGGGTGGGGATCTCAACCATTTAAAAGATATTAGAAATTTCTCAAATGGCAGGGGGTACGGGATGACCCCTGGGGACTAACCCTGTATATCATTCAAACCATCATAGCATGACAAACCAGAATATATATGGTTAGGGGTGGGGATTTTGACCACTTACAAGATATTAGAACTTTCTTAAATGGCAGGGGGTGGGGGTAACCCCTGGGGACTAACCCTGTATATCATTCAAACCATCTTAGCATGACAAACCAGAATATATATGGTTTAGGGGTGGGGATCTCGACCATTTACAAGATATTAGAACTTTCTCAAATGGCAGGGGGTGGGGATGACCCCTGGGGACTAACCCTGTATATCATTCAAACCATCATAGCATGACAAACCAGAATATATATGGTTTAGGGGTGGGGATCTTGACCACTTACAAGATATTAGAACTTTCTAAAATGGCAGGGGGTGGGGGTAACCCCTGGGGACTAACCCTGTATTTCATTTGATGTGCTTTATCATGAAAAACCAGAATATATATGGTTTAGGGGTGGGGATCTCGACCATTTACAAGATATTAGAAATTTCTCAAATGGCAGGGGGTACGGGATGACCCCTGGGGACTAACCCTGTATATCATTCAAACCATCATAGCATGACAAACCAGAATATATATGGTTAGGGGTGGGGATTTTGACCACTTACAAGATATTAGAACTTTCTTAAATGGCAGGGGGTGGGGGTAACCCCTGGGGACTAACCCTGTATTTCATTTGATGTGCTTTATCATGACAAACCAGAATATATATGGTTTAGGGGTGGGGATCTCGACCATTTACAAGATATTAGAACTTTCTCAAATGGCAGGGGGTGGGGATGACCCCTGGGGACTAACCCTGTATATCATTCAAACCATCATAGCATGACAAACCAGAATATATATGGTTTAGGGGTGGGGATCTTGACCACTTACAAGATATTAGAACTTTCTTAAATGGCAGGGGGTGTGGGTAACCCCTGGGAACTAACCCTGTATTTCATTTGATGTGCTTTATCATGACAAACCAGAATATATATGGTTTAGGGGTGGGGATCTCAACCATTTAAAAGATATTCGAACTTTCTTAAATGGCAGGGGGTGGGGGTAACCCCTGGGGACTAACCCTGTATTTCATTTAATGTGCTTTATCATTTAGAACATTTTCAATTAAAAAGATTGTGTCTATCACAAACTGTTTTCAATTTATAATCATTTGAAAATTAAAAAAAATATAATCCCATAGGGTTCTATAGTAAAACCCTCCTTTCTTTTTGCCCCTCAAAGTACCCCTTTATAAACCCCAATGCACAAACAAAACCCTGATTGCACCACTAGACATGTTAGTCTAGCATATTGTGAAACCCTAAGTTAATCTGACAAGCGGTTTTGGAGAACAGGTGCGGACAAGTTCAAATTTAAAAGCGGCGGAAGAAGAAGAAGAATAATAATAATAATAAGAACTGAGCAAAACCAATAAGTCTTCCCAAACTTCGTTTGGGAGACTTAATAAGAACTGAGCAAAAACAATAATAATAATAATGTCACTGTACCATATCAAGATCAAGAACATATATATGAGGTAAAAGTCATATGACAATAAGTAGATAGATACATACATATTCCATACCAAACACAATCCTTCTATTCTCTGGATTTCCTTTTATCTATATATCAAAATCGACCCATCAGGCATAGTTACTGAGAAAAAGGCTTATTCCAGAAAACTTAACTTGACTATTAAAGCATAAAAAAAAGTTAGGGTAAAGCCAAAATTCCTTAGAGGCCTAAACTAAATGCTGCAAGTTTAACTATGCTTGGGTAAAAGTCTATTAATAAACTGCTTATATAAAAAAACAATTACAGTCTCAGGGATACAGTTCCAACTAAGATTTATCAGCCTTTTAAAAGTTATATTCACTTCAGGTTGCCATTAGTTAATACAACTTAACTTTTACCTATTAATATTTCTTAGTAGGAACCTATGCCAAGGTCAAAAACTAAGTCACATGATATTATTAATATTAACCTGTCTCATACTGTAAGGGAAAGAATAAACCACATGATATTTGACTTCCTTCATTAACGAGACTGTATCTTCATGTTCCAATTCTGTTTCTTCACAAAAACCAGCAATAAAGTCACTGGATAGATACACATCTGAAATAAACAAAAACAAAAAATAATTCTTTAGATTCACAGGAGAAGGGTTGAAAAGTTGTTGTAGATTATCCCTATACCACTGGTGTTTGATAAAGGGTAGATGAAGATAAAGATTTACTATCCATACATCATAAGCAATCAATCTACAAGATCAAGTTTACAGAAATATAGTGTTTAAGGCCCATTCACTCCTACAAAATGGCAAATTCAAAATGGTTGGATATAATTAAATATGTCATGAACAAACTTTGTTATAACATTAATTTGTTGATAAAAAGTAAGTTCGGTAAGGGCCATATCTGGCCCTGATTATTAAGTTCAATGTTTCAAGATAAAAAAATGTTTTAAGTTAATAATAAAATGCTCTGCTGGGGCGCATCTTGATATGACTGCAGAGGTCGAACCCTGAACAGTTGGGGCAAGTATGGACACAACATTCAAGCTTGATACAGCACTGAATTTGGATTGTAATTAAATATTTGACACAGCATAGGTTTCTGACACAGAATGAAAGTGGTCTAAGAACTTAAAAATTTTTAATTTACCTATTCAAACCATATCATTATTATTTGTTTTTATATATAAATCAGAAATAACCAATTTAAAATGGTAAATTTTAAAGAAAAAAAAAGGAAAAAAAATCCCCCCCCCCCCCCAATTATTTGAACTATCTTATGATTCATCACCCCCAAACTCAATCCCAGCCTTCCCTTTGTGGTATGGTACCTTGCAGTTCAATTTCAGAGAGATCCATACACTTGAACACAAGTTATTGTCTGGAAACTAGAAAAATGCTTGTTTTTTGGCACCTTTCTGGCCCCAAATTCCTAAATGTTTAGGGCAATTACCCCCAAACTCAAACCCAGCTTTCCCTTTGTGATATGGAACCTTGCAGTACAATTTCATAAAGATCCATACACTTACACACAAGTTATTGTCCTGAAACTAGAAAAATGCTTGTTTTCCTGCCCTTTTATGGCCCCTAATTCCTAAAATTTTGAGGGAATTACCCCCAAAATCAATCCCAACCTTCCCTTTGTGGTATGGTACCTTGCAGTACAATTTCAGAGAGATCCATACACTTGAACACAAGTTATTGCCTGGAAACTAGAAAAATGCTTATTTTTGGCCCCTTATTCCTAAACTTTTTGGGCAATTACCCCCAAACTCAATTCCAGCTTTCCCTTTGTGATATGGAACCTTGTAGTACAATTTCATTAAGATCCATACACTCACACACAAGTTATTGTCATGAAACTAGAAAAATGCCTGTTTTTTGCCCCTTTTTGGCCCCTAATTCCTAAATTTGGAGGCAATTACCCCTAAAATCAATCCCAGCATTCCCTTTGTAATATGGAACCTTGTGGTACAATGTCAGAGAGATCCATACACTTACACACAAGTTATGTCTGGAAGTTACAAAAATGCTTATTTTTGGCCCCTTTTTGGCCCCTTATTCCTTAACTGTTGGTACCATAACCCCCAAAATCAATCCCGCCCTTCCTTTTGTGGTATTGAACCTTATGATAAAATTTCATTGAGATCCATTTACTAAACTTTACTTAAACTAAAGTTAGAGTGCAAAAACTAATGAGTCTTCAAACGACGACGGATGACGACAACGACGACGACGCCACCAATGTCATACCAATATACGACCACAAAATTTTTTTTGCGGTCGTATAAAAAGACATGTGAGAAAGTTAAATAGAACTAATCTGTCAAAGCTTTATTTCAAGGTGTTGATTTTTACATCCAAAAAAGGTCAAAAACGGATTTGTTTGCAAAATTTGACAAATTCAGCTGGAGTTAGTTCAACCAAATAAAGGCCTAGGAAACATAAAACGCAGGCGTCGACAAACTAATTTCAAGTTAGACATGAAAATGTCATAACAAACATTATTTTAAATGATTTTTTTGTTGTTGACGTATGCGCTCTATGATTCCTGACCAATAATCAATGGAAGTTTACCAGTTTTCATTGAAATTTCGTATATAATCAAAATAAGTGCTATTTGTGACATCATGAATAGAACACAAGTACATAAATTTTCAACAAAAAGATATATTTCCTTTCTAGTCACTGTATTAGCTATGATTCATTGTAATATTGGTCAATAAATCCTGATTTTAAATATTAGCTAATAATAGGGGCAATTTTAGGGCCTTATCAAAACCTACTCCTTTAGAGGTATTATTTGGTTTGTAGGCATATAGATTGTTTTAGGGAAAAAATCGCTGAAACAAATGAAATAAAATGCTCCGCTGGGAGCAGCTTGATACGACCACAGAGGTCGAACCTGAACAGTTGGGGCAAGTATGGACACAACATTCAAGCTTGATACAGCTCTGAATTTGGATTGTGATTAAATATTTGACACAGCATAGGTTTCTGACACAGAATGAATGAGGTCTAAGAACTTAAAAAATTTTGATTTACCTATTCAAACCATATCATTATTATTTGCTTTTATATATAAATCAGAAATAACCAACTTGAAATGAAAAATTTTAAAGAAAAAAAAGAGGAAAAAAAGGAAAAAAAAATCCCCTCCCCCCCAAATTTTTGAACCCCCTTATGATTCATCACCCCCAAATTCAATCCCAGCCTTCCCTTTGTGGTATGGTACCTTGCAGTACAATTTCCAAGAGATCCATACACTTGAATACAAGTTATTGTCTGGAAACTAGAAAAATGCTTGTTTTTTGGCCCCTTTTTGGCCCCAAATTCCTAAACGTTTTGAGCAATTACCCCCAAACTCAATTCAAGCTTTCCCTTTGTGATATGGAACCTTGTAGTACAATTTCAGAAAGATTCATACACTTACACACAAGTTATTGTCATGAAACTAGAAAAATGCTTGTTTTTTGCCCCTTTTTGGCCCCTAATTCCTAAAATTTTGAGGCAATTACCCCCAAAATCAATCCCAGCATTTCCTTTCTGATATGAAACCTTGTGGTACAATGTCAGAGAGGTGCATACACTAACACACAAGTTATTGTCTGGAAGTTACAAAATTGCATATTTTTGGCCCCTTATTCCTTAACTGTTGGTACCATAACTCCCAAAATCAATCCCAACCTTCCTTTTGTGATATTGAGCCTTATGGTAAAATTTCATAGTGACCCATTCACTTAAACTGAAGTTATTGTGCGAAAACCAATGTGTCTTCGGACGACGACGATGACAACGTCATACCAATATACGAAATTTTTTGCGGTCGTATAACAAAATGTTAATATATACCAAGACTGTACATCATGATCAAACATCTTTAAAATTCTAAGAACTACTGAATGAGACATCAAAAAGTCATTAAAGCAACGTAAATTTTTTTATGTTCATAACCTCTATAAAGTCTCCAGGAACAACATTCAGAGCTTATTTGCAACTCCTCATCATGCTTAACAAACAAAAAATCACTTAAGGATGTTCACCTCTGAGGAGCCAAAAATTTCTAGAATTAAACTTTTTTACCTAACCTGATTTTTTGGTTTATATGACTGTAAGAAAGTAATTGATGAAGAAAAAGTCATATGATGGTGCACTTATTTTTTTGCTACAGCCATTTGAAAGTAACCCATTTTTAATGATTTTCCCATTTTTCATCAATTTTACCCATTTTTAGGCTATTATCTTGAAAAAAAATCACAGTTTCACAATTAAACTTTTTTTCATACTTTCACTAAAGATGAAGTGGACCAATCTGAATAAATTTAACTTTAAAAAAAAATATACAACAGCTGGTGTTAATATTAAAAGTTTTATAAAATTTTGTTGCTTTTTTGTGCCAAATTAACCATGTTGTCAATTTTGTAAATTTTGGATTTTTCTCTCTTTTTGAGAACAAAAAGCATATTATTTAAACTTCTTTGTTATAAAAGATTGAAAAAATACATATCTAAGAATTTTGAAAAGAAAAAATTGATATGGGATCTACATATTTTTGGTAAAATTATTTCTTTGAACCCCTCACCCATTTTCTCAACATTTTGGCTGATGACACTGACCGGATTGGTTATAAAATTTGAAAATGTTATTACTCAAACACTACTTATTGTAAGTAAACAATTTTTTCACACAGTTTAGTTTAATTATAATATTTTTTACTGTGACTTGACTGTTAGTGTTGCTCTCCACCTATTGCAACTTATTCAAAATTCTGACCAAATTGCAATTTGTTTTATAAAACCAAACTGTTCAACTGGTCAAAAATTTGAACAAACTGCTGTAGAAAACCACAGTCAAGTTGTGAAAGTGCAAGGTGATAAAATAAAGCTTACTTACAATCCTATAAGACTTTAATTCCACTTCAATGTTATTATGAAAAATCAGTCATACAATTTTTCTTTGAAAAGTCTTCTATATTCATAAGAATCAGACATCATTTGAATTAAAACATCTTATATGCAGTAAAATATATGTAAAATCACAATACGTTGTTAATAAGTTTCCATGGGAGATAACCTAAAACATTATCCTTTTGAATATAGAAGACTTTACGAAAGAAAAATTGATTATCTCCCATGGAAACTTATTAACAACGTATTGTGATTTTACATATATTTTACTGCATATAAGATGTTTTAATTCAAATGATGTCTGATTCTTATGAATATAGAAGACTTTTCAAAGAAAAATTGTATGAAAGTTTAGTTTGGACATTTTTATAGCAATTCAAAATTTCTATCCATCACCTTTAGCATGACAATAACAATAAAATTTCTATACAAACTGTAAGACTGATTTTTCATAATAACATTGAAGTGGAATTAAAGTCTTATAGGATTGTAAGTATGCTTTATTTTATCACCTTGTACTTTCATGACTTGACTGTGGTTTTCTACAGCAGTTTGTTCAAATTTCTGACCAGTAAATGAACAGTTTGGGTTTATAAAACAAATTGCAATTTGGTCAGAATTTTGAATAAGTTGCAATAGGTGGAGAACAACACTAACAGTCAAGTCACAGTAAATTCATTGATATTTTCCACTTGTTTTACATGTTTTGGAAAAAATTCCCAAACGAGATTTCAATGAGACTAAAACATCAGAAAAATACATCCTTAAATATCTGCCAGCAAAGCAAAACATTGTGAACACAACATCAATTTTCATGATATTTTCCATGTCTTAGGCATACATTTTTCTTAATGTAAGTAATCTTCAACGAAATGCAATCTCCGTTCAGAAATATACATATACACCTATATACAAAATGTCAATAGTCCATTCAGGAGGGTGCAAGGCAACATACACTTTAAGAAAATGAGATGTCCCAATGTTCATTCAACTGCCTAAGAAATACCATACCTGTCAACTCACCCGTATCCTGCAGGTGTGACCCGAGATTTTCACAACTCTGAGGGTTCACCCCGGATACCCGCTGGGTCGTTAAATAACCCGGGAATTCCGAAAATGACATGTTTTCAATACTTTTCACCCGGATTCTTAAGCTTTCAGACTGATTTCATAAGTGATTTTCCTTTGAAA